GAGCACTGGTCAGGGGAGAAGAGAAGGAGCGGGCAGGGTGGACAAGGCATGCCAACAACGGTCACTGCCGGGCTGCCCACTCTCCCCCAAGTCTACTCACTGCCCAGCACCCTGTCTGTCTGTTTGTTTTTAAAGAAGAAACTCTGGCTCCCGTCATAATTCGGTTCTGAAGCTCCAGTCCCTGGGTAAAGGCTTCAGCGTCCAGAGCCCTCCAACAGGGGGGTGTCTCCGTAAAGCTGGCCTGGTGGTGAGCTCAGACAGAATCCTCGACTTGGGGCACCAGTTCAGCCTCTTCTTTTTCTCCTGCACACACTGTCGAGCCATTCATGAAAAATCCATGCCCGCCGCTTCCTCGGGCCCACCTGTGTCCTGCACATCTGCCGGACTCCCGTCACGGGCCAGCTTCAAAGTGCTGCTGGGAGCAGGAGTGCCACGGCTGGAAGTCTTCTCCGCCCGAGGAGACACCGAGAGCCATGCAGGACCGCCCTTGGGTTCTCTCCTCCGGCTGCTGGCCAGCAGGACACGTGAGGAGGGCAGACAGAGCACGGCAGGCTCTGGACCCAACGTGCAGGACACAGCAGGCGGTCCTGGTCATCGGCTGAGTGCCCACTCTAATCGTCTTGCTCACCTGACTACATTGGTAAACACACTCCGCCCGCGTTAGCATGCCAGGCCTACTGGTCTGGGGAGACTGGTGGGCACAGAGGGGACCGTCCTGTATCACCAGGTGGCTTAACTTACAACAGAACCACAGCCTGGTCTAGAAGGAGACCATGAGACAGTCGCCCCGCGGGACACCCCATGGGCACCCCAGAAGGCAGAAGGGGCCGGAGAGAAGGATGAGGGCAACGGGAAACAGAGGGAGGATGCCGGAAGAGAGCGGGGACGCCGTGGGGACGGCCGTCAGTGGCATGAAACAGAACGCCTCTTGCTGCTGAATGGAGAGCCATTTGGCCTGTTCTCCTGTCACCTCGGTCAAGAGAGAGAGAGAGAGAGAGAGACTCCTGGCGTCCTTTTCAGTGCATTCAATCTTTCACCAACGTCCAGAGATGCCGACTCAGAGCGACCGTGCAGGGCAGGGGAGAATCGTCTCTGGGGGTTTCTGAGATGGTAACTCTTGATGGGAGTTGAAAACCCATTCTTTCTCCCAAGGAGCGGCTGGTGGTTTCGAACCGCTGACCTTGCAGTTAGCAGCCCGGCATTAACCTGGAGGAGCGGTGTGTAAAGTGTTGGGCCAGGTCAGCAGATCAAAACCACAAGCCATCCCTCCACCCCACCCCCACCCCTGAAGCAGAGAGATCAGGCTTTCTACCCCTGTACAGAATCACAGCCTCAGAGACCCCTGGGGGCAGGTGCACCGGCATCAACTCGATGGCAGTGAGTGTGGTCCTTGTCGCTGGAGGACAGTGTGTGGTGACTCCTAGCCCTGCAGTGAGCCACACACACCATCTCTGTCCACCCAATAGGACCCACTTATTTCTGCACCTGGAGACCAGAGGCAGGCTCCAAGTTTAAAAGAGTTACAGGCCAACCCTGTGAGAGCTCAGCTTCCAAGGTGCCCCCCTCCCAGTAGGACCCCTACAGGGATGTCCCCAACGCCCGTGTCCCTGAAGGGAAGGACGTACTGTCCTTGTCGGAGGCTAGCGGGCGGTGTTATTCTCTTCGACGCTGCAGAAAGGCAGGCTGGCCCGGCCACACACCTGCCCAGCCCTCTTGGCTGGTGTGTTTTTGATGAATTGTACTTTGGAAAGAAAAGAAAGGAGGGAGGGAAGGAGGGAGGAGGGAGAGGTGGAGAAGGGAGGGGACACAGAGGGGGCAGAAGGGCAGGGTGGAAGAGATGAGAAGAGGGATCCTGGGAGGGAGGGAAGGAAGCTAGGGAGGTGCTGGAGTCCACAGACAGACTCTTGGTAGGAGCATGCACGCGTATGTAACCTCACAGGAAGCCGGGAGGCGGTAGGCCCTTACGTGCTTCCCAGGATGCTGAGGGCCAGGTCTGCTAAGAGCCACAGCCAGGGCCCGGGTGGGGGCGGGGTGGGGTGGGGGTGGTGTGCACACAGGACTCTGGGAGTTTTCTGCAGAATGATCAAGAGTTCTGCTCCTCTGGAGCAATGCCTAATTGGGCGCCATTTAACATTCAGCTAAATCCAGTATGTCAACAGTAAGGCTCGCCCACGGATTAGAATAAGGCCACTCTCTCAGCCACCCAATACATATATATATTTAACATTCTACCTGGCACTAGCAGAAAGTAAAGAATCTCTGAGAGGATAAAGCACAGGCTAGCAGATTCCACCAGCCTCCTTCCATTATCATTTGCACGTCCTGCCAGGTGCCTTCGAAAAGCTGGGGAGACGTGCGGGGCGCCAGTGCAAGCCGGCCGATTATAATATTCATGAGCAGCTTCCAATACACAGGTATCTGGTTGGAAGAGGAAATGAAATGATCGAAAACCCATCTGACACGTTTCTTCAATGACCCAAGGCCAGGGCGCTGCAATCCTTGGCGCGGGTGTAAATTCATTGTGCTGGTTTGTGCTTTCCCCTGGCCTTTCCAGAATAGAAATGCAACTGCGAGTTACTGCTCTGTGAGGTTCCCGAGCATCACGTTAACCGGAATACTGGTGCCCACCGCCGCCCCTCACGCCCCAGCTCCACAACAGACTGACCTATGGCTGACTCAGAATCCCACCCCTCAGGCCCGCTCCAATCCTGCTGTTTCTACTGGAGCCTGGGGGCTTTCCGACCAGACGGAGACGTGGGCACTGGTGGTGCAAGCTGGGCTTCCTGAGAGTCGTCACCATCTGTCTGATAATACAATTTCCATTCTTGGTATTCACTTGGGGGCGGGGAGACCTGGTTAAATCCTGTTCATGTCTCCTTTGGGTCGCGGACGGAGGCCAGGGGGTGCTGAAAGCAAATGGCTGGTTCACCAGCCTCCCTGTGACTGTCCATGTAACCGTCCCCAACCAGTGGTCAACAGGTGTAAACATCCGCAGAACCTCAGTCTCCTCCACGGTCAAGCAGTTCAACTCCACATCAGCAAACGGAACTGCCCTGAACTGCCGTGGCTGCCTCCTCTTCCCCCACCAGCCAGACAACCACAACAGAGACACCAGCACAACTTGACGCGCCTGCATCTTTCCGCGAGGACTCCGCTGTAGACGAAAATAGCACAAACTAGACGCACAGACACCAAGTCTCATGGGCCAAAACATGTCAACATTTCTTTTTTGTTGCCATTAATGCATAGTGATGCAATGTTTTGGAAACGATGATGGCAACATAGGTTAAAGTGTGCTTGATATAATTGATGTATGGATTGTTATAAGAGCTGTAAGAGCCATCAATAAAATGATGATTAAAAAAGAAAACAGATTGATAGTATCCGGTGCAATGTGGCTTTTTTTTCCCAATCCCCACAACAAACACAATCTTGCATCCAGAAACATCGAGTCGCATCCATGTTTTCTGCAAATCATGTCCAAGAAAGCTACGGCCCGAACTCTGCTCACACACGCCTCTGCCCACAGACAGGTGAGATGCCCCACCAGGTTGCAACCAGGCATTCCGCCAATGCCCTGGCCTTCCGTGCAATCGTGTGAACGCTCAGTACTCACTGGCCACGCTCAGGTGGGTGAAAGGGCTCGTCTTGTTCTCCCCGCTCCGCTCGTTGACCGCCTGGACGTAGTACGAGCCGGCGTCACCCGGCCCTGTGGACAGGATCACCAGCTGGTTCTCCAGAGTGATGGCGCTGTGGGCACAAGCAGAGGGGCGTCAGACGGCACGCGGGACTCACACTGTCTACAGAGTCTGTGTCCTCGGCTCTAAGAGAGAGGGGAGAGTTTAGCAAGAAGAAATACACAGATTAATTCCTGAGTGGAACTTCAGGCGATGGTGGGGAGGGGGCCCCCCGCGGCTGGCCCCATTGAAATGACCCCATCGGTAGCCGTACCGACCCCTCCAGGGTGGTAAGCAAGACGATGCTTGGGGAATTTGTACTTGGAGTTGGTTAAAACCCATCTCCTTCTCTGGGGACTCCTGATGAGACAAGTTGGAAGACCTGCCAGAAAAACTGCCTCTTGTCTCCCACCCACCCATGGAGAGTGCCCTGGTTACACAGGGATCACTGTTCTTTCAGACGGAGGGCTGAGACACCAAGCCTTTGCTGGGGGCCGGCAGGGTGTAGGGGGCAGTGAATCTACTATGGTAGATTTCTCCACCTTTGCCCGCCCCCTTATAGCCTCCACTTGACCCACTTCAGACCAGCAGGTAGAAGGAAATTGTCCAGGAAGGAGCTTGCCGGCCTCCTCCCCCGACATCTTTCCATCATCACTGACTCCAAGACAGGGTGTCCTCACTCAGGCAGCCCTGCCACACCCTTGGAGCCCCCGTGCATAAATATGATGCTGTCTTCCAGAAGGTTCTTCTCCACACTCGTGGTGCCACAGAGGGGCACCAACACCCCGGATGGTGCGGCTGGCACAGGACCGGGCAGGGCTTCCTCCTGTTGTGCAGGGGTCACCACGAACCGGAACTGACTGGGCAGCGATTGCAGTGCAACACAGGATCTCAAATACAAGCTCGCTTTCAACAAGGACCCCCGGTGGGGGTGTGGTTAGGGGTTGGGCTGCGATCCCAATGGTCAGCAGTTCAAAACCACCAGTCGCTCCCCTCTCCGTGACTCCTGGTTCTAGGACTTTCCCATCACAGGGAACCTGGGATCCCAAAGATGGGATTCTCTCCCAGCTCTGCTTTCTTAGTGAGAGACGTGGCTTTCCAGCCCCGTGAACAGTTACAGTCTCTGTGAGTCCACAGTGACTCGATGGCAGGGAGTCGGTGTTGGTTGTTTAGAGAGGACCAGACCAAGGTTCAGAGAGGTTACTTTGGTTGCCCACGGTACCTGTCATGGATTGAACTGTGTCCCCTCACAAGTATGTCTCCATTTGGCTGGGCCAGGGTCCTTGGCGACTTGGCAGTTAGAATGATCCCATGTGTCAGCCGTGCAATGATGTAATCTGCCTCCATGGTGGGATCTGATGGGGTCAGCCTTGAATCTGATGTCAGGGGGCTAGTGAGGGAAGAGTCGGAAGAGAATCTCACCCTTTGGACGAGGGTGCCATGTGATGGGAACCTCCTGGACCCAGGAGTCTCAGAGAGAGGAAGCCTTCTTTGAGGACAGGCCTCGGATAGTAGACGTTAAGCCTCCACAATCGGTGCTCATGGAAGCAGCGGTCAAGAGGTCCTGTGGGGTGCTGCATGGGGTGCATCTGCTACACAAGACAGGGGCTGAGTAGCACACATGTCCCTTTGAGGACTGCGGTGCTCTGAACCCAAGCCTGGTACTTTCAATGGCCTTGTTTGCACGGGAAGGTTGCACCATGAATGAGGCAGACAGAAGAAGGATCAAAGCATTTGAATGATAGCATTGGCCAAGAACGTTAACAGGCTCATGCGCTGCCAAATCAACCAAGAAATCTCTCTTGGTGCGGTACAGGGAGTGTGGTGAGACTTCATCTCGTTCTCTGGAGATGTGGTCAGGAGAGACCAGTCCCTGGAGAAGGACATCATGCTTGGTTACGTAGAAGGACAGTGCCAAAGAGGAAGGCCTTCGGCAAGATGGGTTCACACATCTGTGTGAGGACGGTGCAGGACTGGCGTGTCTCACCCTGTTGAACATGGGGTCGCTCTGAACAGCTTCTAACTCACTGTACCTAACAACAAACGGTGAGAGAAGACATTTCTGTTTGTGGAAGCCCACCCCTTTTGGTATTTCGGCTAGAGCAACACCAGGTGACCAAGACAATTCACAGCACATTCACACCAGGGGTGAGTAAGTCTTCTCACAGATAGCAGGTGAGTTGTGTTCTCTGACTCTGAGAGGCGGGCCGGGTGGATATTTGTTTGAAAGAAGAAAGATGAAGCAGCGTTTGATTGGGATGGGGGCCCTGGCACCTTCGTGCCTGTTATAATTCTGTGTTCACTGTACAGTCCCTTAGAGAGTCCTGCTTGAGGAGCTCTGGTAGCGTAGGGGCTACGAGTTGGGCTAAGACATGCAAGGTTGGCAGTTCAAAACCACCAGCTACTCCGTGTAGGACAGACGGGCTTCCTACTCCCATAAGCAGGGACAGTCTTGGAAGCTCGCAGGGACAGTGCTACCCTGTACCATCAGGTCGCTGTGAGTTTGGTTTGGTTTTTATTTAAAGATATGGGAAGGGGGAATTGGTTAAAAGAAACACACCTACCCACGCACACACATGCGATAAATTCTTCTCTTGAAAGCAAATTGGAGACGGAGGGTAAGGGGCGTTGGGAACACTGCAATGCCATCCTGCTGTTTCTAAGCTGGGTGTCATCCCCGGCTCTGAGAGAGCGGGCGGTGTCACCTCACAGCTGTGGGCTTGGAGGACTTGTTGTATGTGCCTGCGCTTGGATCCCAGGTCATCGCAGCCCGGCCCGGTTTAGGGGAGCTAGGGTCTCTAGTCTGGGCATAAATACAAACGTGCAGAAGAGAGCGTCCGCAGAATGAGCGCTCTGCTTTCCCGCTGCCTGCTAGGAACCGGGCCCGTGGTTTCTCCAGACACGCTTCTTGAAGGGTCTAGTTTCATAACATTATCTTAGGAAGTTCTGCTAAAGCAGGGTCCCCAGAGGGGAGATGGCACAAGTCTCATGACTAATTAACCTCATTTCTCATTAACAGAAATGCCCCTATTAGGCAGTTTTCCATTTTGAGTCTCATAAAAGAATGAGTTGTACTATAATTATTTATGACTCTTTTATGGATTTCTTTATTGAACGATGGAAACGGTTCCATTTTACTTGACTAGATGTGACCGGGCACCTAAAATTAAATGTGAATATTTACTACACCCGGAGTTAGGCATTTAATAGTACGATTTCAGAGCCTGAATATATCATTAGCTTTTTTCTCCTTGAACAGCGGATTTTGGCTGTAGTCATTTCACCGATACCTATTATTTCCCAGAACTATTCTTTAAAATGTCCATTCCTTAGCTCTGTTATTTATGATATTGTTTCAAGATCATTGGAAAATGTAAAAAATCAAATAAAGGATGAATACTAAAGACTACACCTGTTATAATTTCTACTTGCAAGCTGATACTCCCCCACCCCCCAGGTTTTAATTTCTTCCCAAGCGTCTGTCTGTCAGAGCTCAGGAAGAAAAGCCTGTCTGCTGCCAAAGGAAGATGGAAAAAGGCAAAACGTGGAAGAAGGAATGGGAATCAGGGCTCACACCGCCCTCCACACCTTCTTCTCTTTCCAACCCCAGCCTTTCCGAACCGAGAAAGCCAACGATGGAAATGGATTCCTTAAACTTGGATGAACTCTGTGAGCATTTTATAAGGAGACCAGGAGCCCCGGTGGGGTAATGGTTTATATGATGGGCGATGAACTGCAAGGTCAGGAGTTCGGAACCACCAGCTGCTCTGCAGGAGAAAAAGAGGATTTCTACTCTGGCAAAGATTTACAGTCTTGAAAACCTAATTTCTGCTACAGTTCTACTCTGTCCCAGAGGGTCGCTTGGGTTTGAATGGACTCGGCGACATTGATTTAGAGCAGCAGTTCTCAACCTGTGGGGTCGCGACCCCTTTGGAGGTCAAACAACCCCTTCGCAGGGGGTTGCCCAAGACCATGGGAAACACATATTTCCGACGGTCTTAGGAATGGAGACACCGCTCCTCTATCTCCAGGCGGGTCCACCCACATGCAGATACACCCACACATGAGTACCCACAAAAATTCATTTATTTGTCATTAGAAATAAATATTTCACAATATACAATGACATATTGTTTTTGTGATTCATCACTATGCTTTACTTATGTTCAATTTGTCACAATGAAAATACATCCTACACATCAGATAATTTACATTATGATTCATAACAGTAGCAAAATGACAGTGATGAAGTAGCAATGAAAATAATGTTATGGTTGGGGGGGTCACCACCACATGAGGAACTGTGTGAAAGGGTCACGGCATGAGGAAGGTTGAGAACCACTGATTTCGAGTTATAGTTCAAGGGAGACGTGGTGGTGTAGTGGGATGTGTGTTGGGCTGCTAACCTCAAGGTCAGCAGTTCTAAGCCACCCACCACTCCATGGGGAAAAGACGAGGCTGTCTGCTCCCATTAAAAGTGACAGCCTCAGAAACCCACAGGCCCCCTGGGTCCCACGGGGCTCACTGTGAGCCACCACTGAGTCGCCGACAGGGAGGGAGGGTTTCAAATGTTGGATTGAGATCCTGGGGAAAGCCGACGGCACACACTTGGTTCCCCTCCAAAATCCACCCGGGTTTTGTTGCGTGATGTCATCAATCACAATCAATATAACAGCCCTCATCACCCTCCCCGCCCGGTTCCCCCAGGCAATGGTCCTTTTAAAATCAAAATAGAACGATCGACCAACAGTCGCTTGCATTTAGAATTCTGCCACGTGCTGCACTCGCTCCAAGGGAGGCCCATTTCAGAGGCAGTGCGGGGCTGTCCCCTCTGTGCCTCCTGACCCCTGGCCTCCCAGCCAGTCCCAGCCCC